CCCCTGATGAAATGTGCTAAGTAAAAAAAGTTTTTGAATACTCTCAAGGTTGTGTACCTGTATCCTTTATAATAAGATATTCTACCACTGTTAGTGTCTCTGATGTACATCTGTCTTACTAGTATGGGAAGCTTGTCTGTCATATTTTGTGCAAAGGCACATTTCATGACATATATAACAGGATGCACATAATTTTTTACTTCTATACATTTATTCATTCCCCCAACAAATAGTATTTTAATGTACTAATTTTATACCATACATTATATATTTTTATGACCATTCGCCTTTTACATTCTATTCCTCCTGGACCTTCCCTTCTAGCAAACCACTATTTCTGGTTTTAGTTTAACCATTTAATCTGAAGCGCTACCTGATTCTCACAGAACCAGTCCTTCTTCTAAGCATTAGGGCTTTCTGTCCTCCCATAGCAGGGCCCTGTAGTGATTTCTCCACATGGCTGTTCTGCTGGACACTGAGCTCCCAGCATTCACCGTACTGGAAGCACGGCCTCAGCAGTAAGAGCACAAGCAAGGCTCTTTATTCCATGATGCCGCTCCAGGCTCTAGGTTGATGTGCACAAGGCATTGGAAGTGCTCAGTTATCTCCAGGGTTTTATAAAATACATCAGGTGTATTTTGTGATTTCAGTTGTTAAAATTCTCTTTCATATGATTATTGACAAATTTTTAAAGCTTTATTAAAGGATGACTTGCATACCTTAAAATTCATCTGTCTGAAGTGTTCAGTTCAGTGACTTAGTAAGCTTACAGCGTTGTACAGCCATCGTTACAGTCTAATTTTAGAACAAGTCCACTACCCCAAGAAGATCCCAATGAAGATATTTTTTAAAAAATTGGTAGAAATGTCTGTGCTGTGAGTTAACTGGGTGACCTCCAAATGTGGCATTGTTTTTGGATTTAACCGGTTTGGGGCGCCCCGTGCTTACAGGCAGGCTCACCAGGCACTTAGTCTGCTGCATCCTAAAAGGACAGTGAGGGACAAGAGTCCCTCTTCAGGGGCCTCTGTGATGTACTCTCTGCTGGGTCCATTATGTTTAACAAGTGTGACCCCAAAATAACTGAATGTTTACATATAAGACCATAGATCCCCCTCAGAGTACAGGCCCTCATTTTGAATGCATTTATCCCACCATTCTTGCTACTTTCTGAAGCCGTTCTGAAAGTCTTCTTTTGTGCCTTCAGTTAGGTGTACTGTGCTGGTGCCTCAGTGTGCTAATTCAAAATGTGTGCCTTTCATGGTCATTCTGACTTCAGGAAAGAGCCAGAAGCCCACCGTGCCACATCTGGCGAGTAAGGTGGATCAGGACACACTGCAGCATCCTCAGAGGCGGGTTTCCCATTGGATGGCGCTCAGCAGCAGCGTTCACCATACTTTTGCTCACACCTCGTAAAGACACGAAAGAGGACTTGCAGAACTGTTTGAGGAAGTGGCAAGAACAATGGGATAATCAGGGTTGAAGTGAGGATTATTGTTTTGAAGGTGATTGATGGCAATGTATCTTTTACTGTAAGCAGTTTTTGAAATTTAAACATTCATCATATATTTTGACCAACCTGTGAGTATTGTGTCATTTGAGGTTAGAAGATAATAACACATAATGTGCTTGCCTTTTTCATTTAAAATGTTAGGACTTCACAGAAGAGAAGGAACTTCCTCCAGGTTCTCCCAACCATATACCACGCTTACCTTAAACATTTAGTGGTTAGCATTGAGCAATTGCTATGTGCTTCTAGGAAAAGACAAATCTTAGGAAATACGCAAGCAAATTTGAGGAGTTAATAATCTGTGTAGAGAGACGGTAGCTATGTTGAAAAGCTCAAACTCTATAAAGTCAACCTTTCCCAAGACTTATTTCCTTAAAGTTTGGTTTGAAGCCAGTGGCACATTCTGAACCGGGTCAAGTGGGTGTAGAAAAGGCAAGGGATAGGACTGTGTTTGAAAAGCTGTGAAACAGGGGCGGGGCCCTGCAGTCTGAGGGAGGCAGCAGTCAGTGGTGGCCCTATGAGAGGAACAGAACCTAGGGCGGGTTCTGGTCCTTGAAGCCTGAGTGGAAAGGCGAGGATCTGGGGGAGAGCGAGGGTGGGAGACGGAGAGCTCTAGATACCCCTTTTGCTGTGTGGGAGTCCACCCAAAAACCTAAGTTTTGTCAGAACGTTTTGTTTGATGTCATCGAATCGTGAGTGGGTTTTATTATGACTGCCGTGATACCTACATCAGCCGTGATACTCTGTGAGAAAGACAAAGAGAATGTGAAAGGTACTGTGAGAAACGGATGGAAGGCCAGCTCAGACCCTGATGGACAAAACAATGGCAACATTTCCACCAGGAAAGAAAGATATGTCCTACCCTCGTCTCTTCCTCCTCCAGCATGGGCGATGATCCCACCTGCCCCCACTCTCCTCGGTCCTCCTCGCCCCGGTGTGGCGCCCGCACCCCATACGGGAGGCCCTCCCACGATGCCAGTGAGACCTTCTCCTGGAACGAGGCCTCACGCTCATCTCATGGTGGTGCCCTCCTAAGAGTGACTCAACCAGACAAAGGCCGAGGGGCAGCCTCTTGAGACCAGTTTTTTTTAATTGGATTTTATTGGTACATTTTAGATATACCTAATGATCACATTTGTCGTAGAGAATTTGTACCTGTGCATGGTACAACCTGATTCTTTTTTCCCCATTCGCTTACCCTTCCTTTAACCCCTTCTTGCCTGCCCGTGTACAAAAGCTTTGTTTCCATTTTTTCCTAATTTTCTCTCTTTTACTTTCCCCTCCTTTCATTTCCCATTTGTTCTACTTTAGGAGATCATGATGCCGTGACTGGGTGTTTTCTATCAGCATAACAAGGAAGACTTGCTTCCCCTTCCTATCAAAGAGACAGTAGTCTTGACAGGGAAAAGTGGGGCAAAAAAAAAAAAAAAAATACTTTAGAAAGTACAGTTTTCTTTTGATTGTAAAATGTGAAAATAAAATGTCAGCTCTTTCAGTTTAAAAAAAAAAACTGTAAACTACCCAGGCCTGTTGCCTTGGGGACTGCTTATTTGGTCTTAAAATGTTAACATGGGTCAACACAAATGCACAGTGGTATTAGCATATTGGTATAGGGCTGGGGATGTAGGTCAATGGTCAAGTGCTTATCTGCCTGCACAAAGCCTTGGGTTGAATCCCCAGCACTGAGAGAAAAATATTGGTTTAGTTCCTGTAACAGATCCAGTAGTGGCTTAAACAAAACAGAAGTTCATCTCTTTCTTAGGTAATCAAGGTTTTACAGAGTAGCTCCACAGCATTACAGACCCTCCTTTCCCCGTATCACTTCACCAGTGTTAGCACATGACTTTCACCTTCCTGTGAAGAGGGTAGGTCCAGCTGCTTCCATCACAGCCACATTCTAGCCACCAGGAAGAGGAAAAGGCACAGGAAAAGACATGGTTGTGCCTGCACACTCCCCTCATCTTTAAGGGCATGACCAAGAAGTTGAGATAGGGTCTTGCTAAGTCATTAGTTGCCCACAGGCTAGGCTGAGAGTACTTACAATCCCTCCCACCTCAGCCTCCCAGAGCGCTGGGATTATAGGCATGTGACATAATGCCCAGCCTCTCTGTATATCTCATTAGACAACATGATCATAGGCCACAGAGAGCTGCAAGAGAAGTCATAGTCAGAAAACATGGCCAGGAGTGGTGAGAGTAGAAAAGAGGCCCTAGGTCTAAAGCTTCAACTGCATTATATTGAAAGAATGAATATTGGAGGACGGCTGGCATTTCTTCCCCATCATTCTGTGAAGATGAGTTTATTATGAAAAATGTATACTTGTATGTAAGAAGGAAGGAGCTATGGGAAGCCTTAGGCCAAACTTGCACTCAAGCCTTCTTTCTCATCTGGGCCAGATTTCACCAAATCCATATACTTGCATTGAAATGAATCTCCCATGGTGCGAAGGCACACCTTTGCTTTTAAGCTGGCAATATATCAGTTCATTTTTTGTGACACAGTGTCAGTTTGAATTCGCATTTTCACTGAAAACTATATACGACAGCTCTAGCATTTTCATGTGAATTGAACGTCGGCATAGAAGTTTACCTGGGTAAAGCCTGGATTGGCATGTTCTTTCTTCAGAATATTTCTAGGGAAAAAATTCCCTTCTCATCAGCGTACTGATAATATGGCATTGTTTTGACATGCACTCAAGTTGTATTACTACAAAGTGGCGTTTGTGTCTTAGGGAACTAATATAATCTAGGAGTCAGGAATTTGTGTTCCAGCCTCAGTACTCAACAACGATGTCACTTTGACCAAGCCATTGGACTTGGGTATTTTTCTTGGCTAATAATGTCTCAAAAGACAGTTGAGAAGTAGCTTCCCTCATCAGTGTACCTGTATGGCCAGCAGTGATGAAGTCCTTAAATGCACGTGTCATCAGTTGACTATTGGTTACTGGAAAATCACAAATAACCTTAACTCTCTTTAAGGATGAGTTTTGCTCATAACTAGCTAGATCAGTGAAAGAAATCAGTGTGAAAGGAATCTTTACTATTTGCCAACATATAACTTTACAACATTCTTCTAAATGCATTTTTTTTTCCTCAGAAAAGATTGAGTTCTTGAGATTAGAAAGTTGAAGTAATCTTGGTAGGCAGGTTATTTCTTGTCATACCTTATGTCCTTTTCTGAGAATGCATTTTGGGAGACATTCCTTGCGCCACAAATCCGTTACTCTTTGACAATCTCTACCAGTATTACGTTTTAGGCAAGACTAGTTTTAGCCAAGTTCACTGAAAGTGTTCCCAGTGTTCTCTCCAACAATTTCATCAGGTACCTTTTTATGCAATCCTGCCACGGCCAGCTTATACAGAGGATATAAAATAAACCGCTGTCTGTAGGAGCGGTGAGTGGTTTAGTGGTTCCCTTCTCTTTTGTGTGGGAGGGTTTCCTTCACTCTGGTGCCTGTCCTCAGCCATCATCAATGTTTTGTTTTCTCTTTCAGATGACACGGTTGGTGCTGCCTGGCATGGTAGAAAGGTGAGTCACAAGCTCACACACAAACACGATGGATGCAGAGCTTATTATTATTTAGAGGGAGAACCCTTTCTTTGAAAATTTCATTAAAATGACTAGTGAACCTCACCTCCATGTCCTAGCGCCAGGCAAATCACACAGTGGAGCATGAGTCACTGGTGGAGGAGGCCTTTTCCATTCGACTCTTTCCTCTCTAGGGTTGTGGGGGTTCCTGTGGATCGGGATTAAAAAGGCAGCCTGAGTCACCAACACTAACTCAATTGCTGCTATTCTGAGGGGGCAGCCAGAGTTCCTGGGATATTCCCGGGAATGCCTTCTTAAAGCTGTATCCTCTCAGAGCCTTTACCAGTGGAGTTCCATGAAGCACTAAACTCTGCTTTTTTTGTTCTTCCTGGGAGAAAGGCTCTATGAGGCACGCAGGCATGTTGTGAAGTGATTTTATGATGTCAGATCTACCTTTGGAGGCAGTACCTGTTGGCCCCACCTGTCCGCCCTACCTGTTCTGTGGCTTGAGTGGGGTACCACCAAGATGTGCCGGAGGTCTTCTTTTTCTTGAGAAACTTGTAGAGGTTTTACATTTGAAAGAGTATACAGTTTAAAATTGTAAGTAGGCTTTGTGCCTTCCTGGGAAAAACTTAAATGATAGCTAAGGCTTCAAAGAAAAACAGTTAAAAGAGCAGACTTGCATCTTGAGCCACCTTGATCATTCTCTGAGTTTTGGGCTTCATAGTCACCCTTCCTCTGCAAAATAGCCTGGAGTTTGGAAGAGACCCACAGCTTTGCAAAGGGAGAACCTGAGACCCTGCTTCTGCTAAGAGACCTTGATGACCAGCTCCAGGCAGACACAATAGCTTGTGTTCATTGAGTACTTCCGTGTGCCGGGTGTTGTGCCCACAACTTCATATGTGTTAACTCATTTAATCACTGTAGGTGAAGAGACTGATGTTAAGAACCCATTTGCCGAGCATCTATAGAGACGATGCTGAGCATCTACAGATACCAAGAAACTTTCTCAGCAAGGGTCTTTGTATTTCCACTTTATCTGGGCCGTAAAACTTCCCTTTAAAACCTCACACTGCTTATTATCAGTTGACCGTGGGGACGAGGCCCCGATGGTCAGATATGGGAAAGGCTGTGGTCAAACCAGCACAGAAGCCTAGAATAAGAGCTGGCTTAGGCGAGACAGAAGAGAACCTAGGAAGAATGAAATTTGGCCCATCATCTCAATCTGAGTTTTGAGATGTGCAAATCACATAACATTCGGATAGCGAATCCGGCCACAACAAAAGAAAAATGTGGGCTGGGGTGTGTGGCTCTGTGGTAGAACACTTGCGTGCAGGGAGGGCACAAGTGTTTATAAACCACAGAGGTGCTGTGGAAGAAATTCTTCAGTGTGTTGGTGAAAACCATTTAAAACAACAATGGTTGTGGAATCACTTGGCAGAACAGAATATATTGGGTTCAAAGAGCTGTAGAAATCTAGTGGTGTAGGTTACTGGAAAGCAACCACCTTGTATGACAGGTGAGAGAGTCCAGAGAAGATGGGTGCTGCTACCCCCTGAGTTAGCTGACAGTACAAATGTGAAGAGCTGGGAGCTTCACTGCCGTCTCTACAGACCTGCCAGCCACTGGCACTGTTACAGTAAGAGCATCCAGTAAAAATAAACAGTGCAGAGAACAGAACTCACTTAACGGGCCTTGATTGAGTAATGTTCGTTTTGGTGTATTCAGAAGGGGAGGTGGATGCTTGTCTTTAAGAGATCAAGTTGAGTTTTGACCCACGTTGAGAAATGACCTGGGGAAATCATCAGAAGCTGTGGGCTGAGCCTGACCTCAGGGAAAGTAAATATTGCACAGTCCAAGGACTGTTGAAAATGTACAGTACATGGATGTTGTGAATTGGCCCTTTTAGTTAGGAGAACATTCATGCTGACTTGATTTAAGGAGTTATCAGGTGCAGTCACAGACCACCCCACATCTCAGTGAGTTAATGTAATAAAAGTTTACTTTTCCCTCCCATGCCTACCTTGTCATTCTGGAAACCGTCTCCTTCCACCTGGGGCTTCATTGTTCTTTACGGTCTTGGAGTTTTCACAGCATCCAGCTAGGAAATGAGGGAAGAGAGAGTTGAAATGATTTCAGGGAGGTTTCAGGGGCCAGGGCCAGCCCTGGAAGTGGGTGTGCATTAGTCGTGCTTGGATCACACTGTCTGCGGTTCATTCTGCCACAAGCTACTGGGAACAGCAAGGGAGACCAGAAACGGTAGTGGATGCCCAGGAGGAAAGAAAAACTCCCAAGTGAACAGGTCCGCTGAAAGCGGCCTTAATTACACATTATAAGTGGTTTCATTGCAGGGTACTCTTTACACCGCCCCCAAACGGCCGTTTCCGTGCTTGATTTTCGTAGGATTGATGTCTCTACTGAGTAACAGCAGTGTCCTTTAGAAAGATCTTTTGTTACTTAACGTTTTTGTTTTTTCCTTTCACTGATTCTACCTCTGATGTATGAGATTTTCCAAACCCTTTAGAACTATAGCCTCGGGCGAACTGACTATCGCTAAACAAGTATCTATAATCAAACTAAGTATTATTACCATAGAAGTAGAAAGAGCATAATTACATTATAGAGGAAACTTGCCCTTTCTACTTCCCTGGAATTATAAACATTGTGTACAGCTGGAGCCAGGAGGTGGTTGCCATAACAACCGTGGAAAAGCTAAAAATAGCCTCTTTCATATTGTATTGCTTAAGGTGGAATTATGACATGTTGTGGTGTTTTAGGGCAGGTAATTCTCTTTCATGTGCTAAATGTTTGCAAACTTCCTTCAACAAAGCAATGTTTGTATAATGTAAGTATTTGGATTGCTGCCTCTAATTACATACCTGACCTGTGTTCCAGGATTCTTTTCTGACGTCGAATTCCATGTTACACGTTTCTTTGTCTTTGTGAGTCTATTAGAGAACTTTCTACTCCAATTTCAGTGCTGTGTTTATACTTAAAATATAGAAAACGACCCCGCAAGAGCAGCTTCTGTCTTCTTAGATGTGAAGAATTGAGGTTGAAGTCTTGTGCACATTGTCCCCTCTCTGCCATCAAACTCTGCAATGCCGTCCACCCTGATTGACCTTGTGGCGCCGGCTCTTTATAGCAGCGTTTACACTTCCCCACCTCTCTCTCTGCACCTACGCTGTGGGCAGTGCTGAGGTTTCTTGAGGAAATCAGTGACTTATTTCAAACGATACCTCTACTCCCTCTGTGAGAATAGTATTTTTCTAGAGCAGGACAAGGATACTGCAGTAGTGTGTTAGACTGGTGCGACCTTTGTAGAACAAAGGCTTGACAATTTTTTTTTTAAACCAGGTAACAATTGAAGAGTCACACCTGGAATTGCGCAGGTCCGAGGGAATTCTCTTAGAGCACAGAGCTATAGGAAGCTCCATGTGTAAGGCACCAAATTTTGTAGATTGGGTGAGCTTAATGTTTGGCTTGTGGGAGGTCTAATAATGGAAGAGAATGTATTTATATGAAAAAGTGCTTCTTTACCAGCAGTTGGTTTTGTTCTGCTTTGTTTTTGCAACATTTTAGTTTTAATAGATCCCAAAATAATTTGTGTGCTGAGATACCATTATGCGACTGTTAGCAGGTAAGCAGTGTGATGAATTGTGGTTGCATCACAGAAAATATTTCTTGAGCCATTTATTTGGGTGTTTGTCATAACAAACCGGGAAATGTGCTGAAAGATGAGCAACATGAATCTTCATTATAGAACTCGTGCAAAAATTCTTAACGTACCTTCCAATATTAGAATTGTCCCCAAGTCCCCAGAAAGTGAGAGGTTAACCCAGGCTTGGTTTTGTGTTTGTTTCTGTGTGCAATTAAGCGCAGCCCGTTTTGTCCTTCTGCTTGATATAACAGAGTTGTCAGGAGTCTGGCTGTGCCATGGAAACAGGTTTGACGTCACTAATTCTGCTTAGATGGAGGATTAGAGCTAGACAAAGTAGTTGATCTACAGACGAATCCTTTGTGCCTCCCAGTCCCAAATATTCCTCCCTATTTCAACATAAAGAATAGATAGTGTATATAGCAGAGGATTAAGGCATGCTATACCAGTGTGACACTGGTGATTCAGACAAAACTAAGTTGAGTATTATCCTGGGGGAGGGAAAAGGAGAGAGAGATACGGGAGGGTGGGGAGGGAGAGAGAGAGAGAGAGTGAATTGTATGCTGTTGTGATATGAGCGTGGGAAGAGTTTTGCTAGACAAATATGTGCCCCTGATGGTAGGACAGAGATTTGTAGATGGGTTGCTTTCTCTACTGTCAAGTGGGTACCATTTTAAATGCTGTCCTTTTATTTACTTAGGTCTAATGCATTCTCTTTTTGTATAGCACTTAGAGGGTCTTAAATTTGTTTTAATGTATTTTACAATGCAAATACTCTATTTTGCATAAAGTACTCTAAAATTCTGTCTTCCTACTTACCCAGAGTACCTCTGTCCCCTAGAAATTATAAATTAGAGTAGAATATGTGAGTAACAGAGATCTTCGCTGCCTCAAGGAATAAGCAAGTGAAGGAGCATGACCGTGTAATTGTGACATACTGGGTTATTGATGTTATTTTTTTAGTGGGAAAGAAGCTTTTATTATCTTAAATGACTTTTCCTTTGTTGAAATCATGGCTTTGGTGAGTGAGGTCTTAAGAATCTGTTTGATGAGTTCAAGATTCAATGTTTAAAAAGTATTCGATAAGGTGAAACTTTAACCTTTAAAGACTTTTGAATTGCATTTCACGTGTGAGAGATAAAATAAAACATGCAAGGTCTTTGTTCAAGGGCACACACAACCGCCCCAGCTAGTTTGAGTATAATGGAGCCCAGAATCCAGCTGATAAAACCGGCCCTAATAGGCTGCGGCCTTGGTGAAAAACATCAACTTCATCTACTTCACCTGGCTTTCTCTATACTTGCTCTGTATGAGCGAGGATATTGCAATTCCTGGCTATATGAACACAGGTTAACCTAAAAACCCACCCTTTCAAGGCTCCTTGGGGTGCGAGGGGGGTATTAACTTGTCTGGATTTGCAGTCACTTTGCAAAGTATATTGTGTTACATGAGCTCTTTAGCTTCCACTCAATTGGAATGTGACCTATTGTAAAGATATTTTCCAATATATCGCAGATACACGTTTCTTTCTTTTTACACATGTACTGAGATATTTTACATATTGTAAAATCTGTCTAAAGTACACAGTTCAATGGCTTTTAGAGTATGTACAGAGCTGTAGAACTATCACAATTTCATTTTACAATATTTTCAGCATCTTTAGAAGAAAAGATAATTTAAACATCATAAATTAATACTATATTAAAAGACTCTATAACAAAAGTGATTTTTATTCCATTTTATCAAAGGAATTTCTTATACATATAGACAAAATGAAATGACCAGCTATTAGTTACCAACTCACCAGGTTTCATCCTAGAAGGTTGGGTTCTATCTGTTGATACAAACTTCTTTCTTTTAAAGTAACAAAGGAGCGGGCTGGGGATTTAGCTCAGCAGCACAGCGCCTGCCTGGCAAGCACAAGGTCATGAGTTTGATTCCTGGTACCGGAAGAAAAACAAACAAACTAAAAAATAAGTAACAAAGGAAAGGCTTGTCTGTTTCAGAGACAGAAAAAGCAAAAACTGGAATAATGTCATTAGTCCACTGACTATTTGTTTTCAAGTTAAAAAAACAATCTTAACGTTTTTCAATTTGAAGTTTTATTTCTATCATCAAAATGTTAATGGATTTCACCACTTTGAACAGTCTGTTTTACCAACAAGGACTTCTGTTTAAAAACAACAGCAGCAAAAACTTGTTTCCAGTGACACACATCCTGCCGAGACCCCGGACTTCCCTTTGATGGTTGGAGTGGCATCTTGCCTAGAGGCTGGCAGATGGAGTGGGTGACCTTTGGGGATTATTTCTCTTCAGATTCATATCTAAAATAACTTGGATGTCATTTAGTCATGTTTTCTTTGCTATTTTACATATAAAGAATCTGGTAGTCGCTTTTTTAATATTTAAAAAAAAAAAAAGCAGGCCTTACGGAAGTAAATTCAGACTCAAAAAGAGAGTGCGGGTTGAAGGAACAGCCTGATAACGGGTTTGGGGAGGTGAGTGAGGTTACATTTCTGTAGGGGACCAGGCTGGGGTGTAGCTCAGTGGGCGAGTTCTTGCCTAGCCCTTGCTCTGATCCCCAGAACTTTAGGGTGGGGCGTGAAAGGGGACCCCTCCTTTGAGAGTAACAGATTTGAGGGGGAAAGTTGGTAGTTAGATCTGACATTTCTACAAACCTAACTCCACGTGTTAACTAACCTATACATGGTTTTGAACAACTGATACATTTACAGCGTTGCTTTTCTCCAGCTATTTTTCATTTAGTTGTAGAAGTGGAAATTCCTGGTAACTCTTTGACTTTTAACTTTCAGTAGTCTATACAAGTTACAGAAAAAAACCCAAGCTTTGCCTTTTGGCCAAAAAGTAAGTTGATAGAGTTATAATTTTAGAGTCAGCTTGGGCTCCCAAGTATCTACCACCCAAGCAATGCAAGTCTGAGGACAGGGTGTAGCCGTTCATTGATTGCTCAGAGGTTGTGTGAAGCACCTTTTTGTTATGTGTTTGAGGAAAGAAGGCTCTAATGTCTGAGACCTTACGATTGGGAGTTGCCTATACACGTGGAATGATTAAATATTACAACAAGGTAGTACGTGGTGGTGCACCAAAATAAAGGTGTGGGCATCTGTTAGTAGAGTTTGGGGGTAGGGGGCAGTACTGGGAGTCAGACCCAGGGCCTTGCACTGCTGGGCAAGTGCTCTATCACTTAGCTCATCCCCCCAACCCTGTAAGTGAAAATTCTTTTTGCCATGATGTTATGGTTTGTGTCTAGATGTCCTCCCAAAGCCTCATGCAGTCATGGGGCAGGCTTCTAGTGTTTATGATTGATTCATGGTCCAGTGTTGGGATTATGGATGTAAGTGCTGCTCCTGCCCTGGAGCAGGTGTTTTGCATACAATACAAGAGAGGAAAGGAGGCTTGCTCTCTGTTGCTGCTCCTCCCCACCCACCCCCCTTTTTGTTCGATGTTTTTGAGACCGGGTGTCATTATGCAGTTCAGACTGGCCTTCACTCACTTTGTAGCCTAGGATGGCCTCGAACTTACAACAATCCTCCTGCCTCAGCCTCCCAAGTGGAGTGATTACAGGCTTGCGCCACCTCCCCCGGCTGTGCTCCTTCCTTTTTGCTCTTGCTGCTTTTGCTGTTTTCCTCCACCATGAACTGTCGCCCTCTGCCGTGTGCCACTCCGCCCTGGAGCCAGCCAAGTATGGACTGAAACCTCCACTCAGTGAGCTAAATAAACCTTTCCCTCTTTAACTTGAGTGTTGGGTATTTTGTCCTAGCAACGAGAGAAAAGTAGCCAAGACACATGGCCAGAGGGGACCTCAAAAAGCAGAGATCAACTCAAGGAGACCATGGATCTCATTCAGTCATGCCCTGGATTACTAAGACTGGGAAATGAGCTAATTGTAAAGAGCTATTTTTAGTTGATTGAATTATGCTGCATTCACTGACCAAGCATGTCATGCAGTGATGAAAACCAGGGAGAGGTGTGTGTTAGAAAAGCAGTTACGTTACTTTGTTTCAAATAATTATGTACATATCTTGATTTGTAACTGCAAATGGTTGTATTTATGCTTTCATGCACTGACCGGTACATTTTCCTTTTTAGATCTAAAGGCGTGATTCTAAATATCTCCTCTGCCAGTGGAATGTCCCCAGTTCCGCTCTTGACCATCTATTCTGCAACCAAGGTGAACAACCCTTTCATAAATTACGTCAGTATACGAGAAAAGCATTTTTATTCTGTACACTTAACATAGATTTAAGTCTCTCCAAGTTCCATTCCTATAGAGGGAAGGAAAATGCTTTACCACTGGGGACTTACAGAAAGGTGTAGACTTCTAAGGGGACACCAGTGTACCAGAGCCATGGATGCTTATTTTCCTCCCAGTAGTTTACTGATTTAAAGTTATATATGTGCTTTCCCTAGAGAGCCGGCCTAGGCCAGTTAGCTTTGTGGATGAGAATGTGGTGCTAATGAGTCTAAGATTGGAGATTTCGTACATGAGTGAGTCAGCTTCATACAGCATCAGAGAAATGCATCCAATCAGTGCATAGATGCACACAGTAGGCACAAAAGCTGGCCGCTGGTGAGAGAGTGACTTTTACCACAGTATCCAGAACCCATTAATATCTGTTGCTGTTTCTAGGGTATCACAGGAATTTTCCAGAGCTCTGTGTAAATGTCATTATTTCATACATCACCACTTACTTCCTCACATTACTGCTAGAATAATAATTTAGAATGCATCTCTCCCGGCCTGCAGGTCAATAGCATCACCTTCAGATGCATTACTGAGGCATGGAATAGATTTCTGAAGGGAAAAATGTCATTCAGACATTGAAATTAAGCAAGCTTTTAGGGAAAAATAAGCACATTTAATATATAATATGAATTTGCAGTATGTCATGGAGGAGAAGGAGCACAAGACTTGTCCTCTTTTCCACTTGAAAAAACCTCAGTCACTGTGGTCTTTAGAAAAAGCTTGGCACGACCTCCCAGCCCCTGTAACCTGCTCGCCGTCTGCATCTCTGAAACAGCACAGGCAAGCTGTCGGTGACGCCGCGTGCGAGACTCCACCCTCCCACCTGTTCCCCGTGGACACAGACTTTTGCTAATTGGGATGTTGGAGTCATTCTTGGTACGCAGCGTGTCGAGCCTGAGGCTGAGTCCACATTTAAGGAAGAGATAGACACATGCAGTCATTTACAGTAGATTTCAGGGCTCATTCTCGGAAGCTGGGCGCTCATCCTCTCTGCACTCCTGGGATTTTACACCATCGTCTTTTGACAACAGCAAAATCCCCCCAGAACACAGCTGAACAGAGTGCATGTTATGTTTCTGCTTCAGGAGCAAGTAAAGAGTAGACGTACATCTTTCGTTATATAATATAAAAATGCTTCTCCTTGGAAAGTCATTTTCTGGGGGAGAAAAGGCATAAGAAGAGCCTCTTCCAGTCCAATCAGAATTTGGGGCAGACACTATATTTGGTTAAGGTAATGCTTCATGTAGTGGCAGATAAAAACCCTTTGAGGTTTTGAGGTGTTTTTAAAATATCTTTTCTGCATTTGCAGTGATTCAAAGAATGATGAGACGTGATAGTGTTAAATGATTAATTATTATATTTTTGTTTCCATGACTACAAATCAGGCAGATTGATGTAATGCATGTTTCTTCTCACTCCCAACACCCTCTCAGGCTTTTGTAGATTTTTTCTCTCAGTGCCTCCACGAGGAGTATAAGAGCAAGGGCATCTTTGTGCAGGTGAGTGGAGTTTGCTTCCGTTAAGCATTCCTGTTTTTGTGTGGTTGCCACAGCAACAGTTGCTGTCTTGGCAACGAAAGAAAATCACATTCCTCAGTAAGTGAACGTGACGTTGCACACCATTAAAGATGTGGGCTCTTTTTCCCTTACGCACTTAGTCAAGATTTTAAAAAAATCACAACCTGGAATTTTTAAGAAAGGGGTACCTCAAGTAGAACTAAATGCAGAGTAAGCAGTTAAAGCATAATTATCATAGATTTGAGAGAATCAAGTTGTTGATACCTTTTAAATTGGGGTAGAAAATACATAACATAAACTGAGCATAAGGGCATATGCCTGTAATCCCAGCACTAGGGAGGCTGAGGCAGGAGGATCGTTGTGAGTTCAAGACCAACCTCAGCTACAAAGTGAGCTCAAGGCCAGCCTAAATTGCATAGCGAGAGCCTGTCCTAAAAAGACAAAAAACATAATACTTACCACTTGAATCATTTTTAAGCATGTAGTGAGTGGCCTTAAGTACATTTATATTGTTGTGTTATCGCTGCCACCATCCATCTCCAGAACATGCTTCATCTTCCAGAACTGAAGCTTCATACGCATTAAACACTAACTCCCGATTCCTCCCTCCCTGCCGCCTTTGGCGACCACCATTCTACTTTCTGTCTCTGTGAATTTGTCTGTTACGAAGGAATCACACAGTATTTGATCTTTTGTGGTCAAATCACGTATTGCTTTAGGCTCACACTTAGTGTAGTGTTTTGCAGATTTATCCATGTTGGAGCATGTGTTCAAATTTCCTTCAGAGGCTCAGTGATATTTCCCGTGGTTCCTGTGATACCACATTCTGTTTAGCCACTCCTTCACTGATGGGCATACATGTTGCTTCCACCTGTTGGCTGTTGTGAGTAATGCTGAAATAGACAAGGGGTACAAATACTGCGTTTTCATATCTTACGGATATATGTATGCAGAGGTGGAATTCCTGGATCGTATGGTAATTCCATAAATTACCTTTAAATTCCATAAATTTCCTTAAATTGTTTTTGCAGAACTATAAGACTTCTCCTTGTCAGCTGTGCCATTTTACATTCCACTAGCAGTTGACAAGGGGTTCCGATTTCTTACCTTGCAAATGTTTGCTGTTTTCTAGATTTTGTTTGTGTATAGGTGTTTGTGAAGTGGTGTTTCTTTTTTTTTTTTTTCCAGTACTGGGAATCAAACTCACGACCTCGCGCTTGCCAGGCAGGCGCTGTGCCACTGAGCTAAATCCCCAGCCCCCGAAGTGGTGTTTCTTCGTGGTTTAGATTTACTGAAGGATGATTGCCTGATGATGTTGGCTCCATGTGGGGCACCTTTTAGACTTCTGGGCCATTTGTGCATCATTTTTAGAGAAATTTCTGCTCAGATCCTTTGCCCAGTTTTTGGTTGGGGTTTTTGCTGAACTTTAGTTCTTGATTAATTTGTATGTGAACCCCTTATTAGATATAATTTACAAATATGTACTCTCTGTTAGTTGCCTTTTCATTCTCTTGATGGTACTTTTTAATGCACAAATATTGATGTATCTTTTTAGTTTTGATAATGGTCCAAGTTACCTACTTTTCCTTTGCTTTCTGGGATTTTGCATGTCATAGCCAAGAAATCCTTACCAAACCCAATATCAATGAATTTCCGCCCATTTCCTTTGAGGAGTTTTATAGTTCTAGCTCTTGGTTAGATCTTTGATCCATTTTGAGTTCAACTTTATATAGACCTTTGAGTTTATTATGTAGTTAATAGATTCAATGCTCTGAGATCCAATACAAAATAAAAGAAGAAGCAAAAGTGAGAGTTTCTGTGAGGGTTTAGCTCAGATCTGCTGTTGTTTAACCCAAAGAAATCATGGCTCACAGTGTTTCTGTGCTTAGGTACATTTTTTAAAGTTGCAATTCCTACTATCACCCACCTGTCTCTACACACCTGGTGTCGCTGTGGCTGTCCTTACTGTCAGCCTTATACTTTGCTTTTTGCATCTTAAGGCTCCAAATGATCAATCAAAGTAATAGTTCAATATTGTGTGAGTAATTTTCAGGCACAGTGCTAAGCATTTTATCTGTATTATTTTGCTGTATTTCACAATAATCTCATAAGATGTGATTATAATCTTTTTTTTTTTTTTTTTGAGACAGGGTCTCGCTATGCAGTTCAGGCTGGCCTTGAGCTCACTTTGTAGCCCAGGCTGGTCTCGAACTCGCAATGATCCTCCTGCCTCAGCCTCTTGAGTGCTGGGATTACAGGCGTGCGCCACCATGCCCGGCTTTTTTGTCCTTTTGAGGCAGGGTTTCACCACGCCTGCCTTCATCTTTTATTAAGGTTGCTGAAGTTCAACTTGTAAAAGGTTAAGTGATTCACCCATGCTGAGCCAAGGTTCAGGTCCAGGTGTGAACCACTGAGCTACTTCCTGCAGACCTGCTGGGTGGCGCTGGCCACTTAGCCAGTTCCGCCTGTGCTCAAGGAGTGACAGGACCAGAAGTGCTTGACTGCTTTGGCCCAGCTCGTCCTTTGTTACCCGCAGGTAATCAGGGCCTCCGTGCTAGCTAGCTGTGGCTTCTGAGTCCTTTTAATCTCCACTGAGAGAGGGTGGTAATGGCAGCAAAGGCGGGAAGACCGTTTGCTCATCTTCCAAGGCCAGGAGGCTGCGTCCTCTAAACCCCCATCTTAGCTTTTGTGCAGGGCATGCTGAGACGTCATAGCCACCTGGCATTACGATTTGCGGTTTCCCATGTAAACAGGGTGCGTGGGGAAGACAGGATTTTCTAGAATCCAAGATACCAGGACTGCGCTACCACGCTGTCGTTGCCCCGCGTTCCTTGACACCCTTGTAACACTGGCAGTGGGTCTGCGATGTGGGCGGAATTGTGGCAACAAGGAACCCGGAGAGGCAGGTGTGGGAGGTGAGGCGTCACACGCCCTGGAGCGGACCCTTTTCCTCCCGGCGAGTCGGTTATACTCAAGCTCTTGGTTGAATAATTCTTCCCCACTCACCGGGACCAGCAGGGGCTCTAATGATCCGCGGGCGCTGACCCTGTAGCAGGGGCCGAAAGCTACAAGTGTTTCAGCGCCATGTGGCAGTGTTAGGCCTGGAGAGCAGTTTCTAAAATTGCATTAAAAGACGGGGCCGTCTCCTTTCTCACTTTCACAGCCTGTTTGCCACCAAGTTGTTTTTCTTCAGCTTCTCTGCCCATTAACCTGACATGACTGGAAGCCACTAGAAAAACACATTAGTATTTGTCCCTGGAATATTTTCCTCTGATAAACTTCTGTTTTTCCCTAATAGTGGATCTCGGTTGTGTAATCTCATCAGTCATTGTCTTTGCTCATGTGGAATCATTCAGGGTTTAAACTTGGGAGTTTGATGAAAAAAATAAGGTTCAGATGTTAGTGAAGGGAGTTGCCGTACGTGAACAGGTATCAGAGCGCTGGAGTAGAATAGAAAGAAAACCCTGCATTCATTCGGGTCTAAGAAGCAAGAAAAAAAACACCTCGTCTGAATGAAGCACAGTTAAAAATTGGTTTTTCTTCGGTGGTGTTTTGTGTCTCCAAACTTTGGGCACTAGGAGTATTTATCAGCCAACTCGGCCTTCCACTCTACCCTGCGTACTTTCCCTGGATCTGGCTTTCCTCTGTGGTCATCCAGCAGGGTGCTGTGAGGTTTAGTGCCAGATTCAAACTGCACAAGGCCGCCATCTTTCTGGCCATCCCTTGTTTTCTCCTGTGCTCAGGCCAGAGTGAGCTTTGCAGTGCCGTGTGCTCTGCCCTTGAAGCCTCGTGACCACCCTTCCGGTGCCGTCCCCGCCCCGCTCCTCTCTGGGCTACGCCACACTTGCTCCCAGTGCTCTCCACACCTGCATCCCGCGACCTCTGACCATTTCCCAAGGTTCAAGGCCCTGCCTGCCTGGTCGTCCTGCTCCAGCCCCTTGGTGCATTTGAAGCCTTTCTTTCTGCTCTCCGGGACTCCTTGTATCTCTGCCTACCACTCTGGCCTTCCCTCTTTCCCAGCTCTGTACAGTCTGGAGAACAGATTTGTATCCTTGTCTCTGGGTGGCTGATGGCACCGTAACTGGGTACTCCGAGGCCCTGGCTTCTATGACTTTCCTCAACTTCTTTCCTATAATAAGAGCATTTAAAATTCCCTCTGAGAATTCACATTTGCCATTATATATTTCCTAGAAATGCAAATAAATAGTAATAACAGCTGGTACAATGGCACGCACCGATAGTCCCAGCTACTTGAGAGGCTGAGGCAGGAGACTTTGTTGAGCCCAGGATTTTAGGGTCAGCCTGAACAACATAGCAAGTCCCTGTCTCTTAAAGAAAGAGAGACAGACACAGAGACAGAAGGACCAACCAGTTATATAAATTCCCTGGAGCTGAATCATGGGCCTGGTGACCTCTGTTGAACAAGGGTCAGATGGACATTCTTGGGTAAACTTTAGCAAAAGGTTCATGCTGTTGATAAGGACTACTTGTTCTCCTTGTTATCTCATAACTTATAACGAGTGAAAAAAAATGTGCTTCAATCTTTCAAAGGAAAAAACTGCAAAGTGATCCGCCTGGCCAGGGAACGGGCCCCAACGCCTGTGCGTGCTGTGTGCTGACCAGCAGCTCATGCCGGCGCTAGTGTGAGGTAGCCCGGACCAAGACTAGAGCTTTGCCCTTGTGCTTTTGTTCCACAGAACCTGCACAAGCCGTCTTGCTTGGTAAAAAGCATTTCATTGGGAAATAATAACCAAATAATTTTTTAATAAAAAATTAGAGCACCCTTTGCCTGGACAACACTTCATCTTTAACATTTTGTCCAATTTGTCTTACTGGAGTTTAGTTGCATATTGCCATGGTTCTTTATCTCCAGTGTATTTCTTAAAAAATAAAGATATCCTCACATATAACTATAGTACAGTTACCAATTTGATGTTTAATGTTTCTTAGGTTGGGAGGGAGTACTGGGAATTGAACCCAGG